AGTATACACTTTGTCCAAGATAAGGATGTTTATCATGGGGATCTCCGAAACTATAGAAGGTATGACGATAGTCAATTTGATGAAAAGTTTCACAATTAACCAGGTAGGTATTTATCATGCTCTAAAGAAAACCAGAAAATGCCTATTACTTCCGGTTCCGAAGATATGCCGGATAAACCCAAATTTCCAGATTTCGTTTTCATTTTTTTCTCATGTTATTTGAACAGATACAAACAAGTATAAATTGTGCACAACTCTTGTGCAGATAAAGCGCATTTTTTAAACCGAAATAGCTTTTGTTTTGACATCCACATCACCAATGGATATATTTCTTGCAGACGTCTCAATCGCTCTTTGTAAGTACCGTCTTCTGACAATCCGTTCTGGGGATATAAGGGAATATACCCGATCACGATAAGAGGTCATAGGAGGGCTATGGTTGGTAGAAATTAATTCCTTTCGATGAGACCTTCCATTCGAATACCATGAAGGGTAGAACATGTGTTTACCCCCACCCCCCATTTTCTAAAGTTTAACTTGGCACCACTAAAGGCATGCGTATGCAAAATCTGAGACCAATTGGTTGTCGTATGTAAAAGTTTTACTTTCAAAAACAGCATCTCCGGAAATAATTCGTGTGGGGGGGGGGGGGCTAAAAAATATATTAAAAAACACTTTCTCAACAATGCTACCCAATAGAGTGTGTACTATTTTACTGGTCACTTAAAAAAATAAAGTTGATGATTATTTCTCCGAAACGAAACGCCTTGAAAATCTCTCAACGGTCTCTTATAGTAGGGTGACCATATGTACTTTTTTTTAGTAGGACAGTACTTTCTTTTCAAACGCAGTCCTATTGTCCTTTACGATTTATCAAGTACACCTAAATGTACTCTTTTTCTTAATTGGACAAAATTAAGTCATACTTTTTGTACAAACTAAATATAATTATGACTTCTTGTATGTCTTTGGTCATAAATGATTTGGCATTTGGTTTATTTGGATTTTGATCCATTGTAATCGATGAAATAGGTCAGTTCTTAAAGATTAAACCACAACTTCTGAAGGAAATTCTTGGTTCCAAAAAGTACGACTGGTGCCAAAATGATGATCAAAATGTTCACGTCGGAGGAAAATTAACTTTTAAAATTTATATATACATATACAGATATACTGTTTGATTAAAGATTCGTAAAATTGTGACCAGAAAAATTTCCTAGAGTATTAGCAGTGTATTCCCTAAATGTACCCTTTTTTTTGTTGAAAAATTATGGTCACGCTACTTATAGGGCACAAAAGGTGGCAATGAGAAAGTGTTTGTTATTTTTTGTATCTATACAAATGCCATCAGAAAAAATCGGAATTTTTTGGTTTTCTTAGTTTAAAGTATGATGGTTAATTGAGCAACTTTTCCTCAATTAGACTATTGTCATACCTATGGTTTCGGAAATCCTCATGATAGACATCCTTATCTTGGACACAGTGTATATTGCTCATTTCCGTTGCGGATCAACTATCTTGTGTTACCCAATTCGAGATTATGGAATTCAGAACTTAAGGTATGAAATGTTCCGTATAGAGCTTTTAATTTTTTTTTATAAGAAGGTTTATTATCTGACATTAAAACACATTAATGATTTTGAAATGTTTGAGTTTTCGTACCATTTTTATACGAAGAATATTTCAGCACAGTTTTGAAGCAAATTTTGGAATTCTGATTAGTTTCGGGTCGATATGCAGAAGTTTTGCTCTAAAATGTATATAGAAATAGAAATAGAAATAATTTATTACTGTAAACAAGAAAATTTCACAACCAAATTTACAGTTAATAGACACTAATTTTATTGATTACAGCTAGGCACCTCATTAGCATTAGCTGTGTTGAGGTTGCCTTCATAATTGAAAATAAGAAAATGACTAAGGTGGCTGCTCCCCAGCAGCAATACCAACATACTATAGGTATACAAAATTTAAATAAAAACTTAATACTGGAATAATTAATAATTAATTCATTAGTTAAATGGCAGAATGTAAGACTGCTTCATCGCACTATACCTACATTATACTAGTGCTAATTTTACAAGCATTATTAGATATGCTCAAACTTAAAAAAAAAATTATTAGTAATTATTAAGTAAACCATAAATCATAATAAATATTGAAAGCCCTTATTTCAGATTTGGCGAGATTTTTTTGCATAGATTTCAGATTTGAATGGGAAATATTTTAACGAGTTTTAAGAAAAATTACTATCAAGTTCAAACGAAAGGAGATTAAAAGCCTGTCAACAAAAATAATCAAATGTGTATACAGAATTTATTGTAAACTTATACTGGATGACATCATCGCATACTCGCGTTCATGATTTCATGAACAATAGCTTCATTGTCCTCCGTACCTTGCTGTAAAAGAACCGTAGTTTTTTATCATTCATGTTGCAGATTTCTGTACAGTACTAGCGTTGAGTAGCGTAATCATTTCGAGAAAAAATCTGTATTTTTTTACCGACAGCACGACATCTATAACTCTTAAATATGCGGTTTCCAAAACGTACATGGAGGTTATCTCAGTATTCTAGGTAACAGGTTCAAGATGGAAGTATTTTCGACAAAACTTCAAATTGGAAAGATAGGCAAACTCGGCTACTTGGAAATACAAGGTTTCTATAGTGCTACCTGGTGCAGAAGGTGCCATGGGGGTAGAAACCGATTGAAGATCGTCAGTGACTATACTTTGCAATTAGCCAAGTACAAGAACTCTGAAAGTAGCGCTCTACTCATTATCACAATGAACATGACAGAAAGATGAGACACTAAAAAAGGTCATGAGATTTGAGACAGGGTATGAAGTCTCTGGCAGGAATTGCATAGGTAGATTATTCGCTGGCAGTCTAAAGACTGGGCATATAATTGTGCATGGTGTTTGTCGGATTTAAACATGATAAGGAAGATATGCGACGTTTCGACACTCGAAACTAATTAAGAACGTCTGGAATAATTTAAATGCTTATTAAATCGCCAAAGACGATGCTAACAAAACTACCTGAGCTGTTCCTAGTCTGCAAAATCCTAGACGACTCTGCGTTCAAATCAAGTTGGAGTCTGTTGAATCAGAAGAACAGAACCAAAAACAATCTAACAAGTCATCTTTGTGCATATGAGGGGGAATTTAGAGATAAAGATGCTGAGACATTTGCCAAGAGGTCTAGTCACAAACGAAGATGACAAACAAAAGGAAGTGAATCCAATTGTAAATCAGCGTGAATGTACCTCAGTGTTTCTCCTGATCAAGCTCTAAAGGGAAGAAAGATCAACATTCAACAAGCCCAAGTGTTGTTATTCAGCCAGTTCCTGATGAACATCCTAGACCTGTTGAAACTGAAGATCATATGATAATTGATCATAAAGTGGATTTACCTGTTGTCAAAGTGCTTGAGCAATAAGTCGACATTCAAGAGGATGAGCATGATGAGACGCGAGGTACAGGCTCAGAAGCAGAGAAGCGATTACGCGGCCCAAGAAGTAGGTACCTATAGCGAGTAAGCTCAGATTCCTTCCCAAATAGGTACGTCCAAGGAAGGAAGGGAGAGCGCAGATCACAAGAATTGGCAAGGTGCATTAAAATCAGTTAAAGAAAACGATCACGTGTGAACGTTGTGCGAACCACCTAATTGCAAAGAGATATCCTGATGGGTCAATTAATGAAAAAGTATAAAGCAGGGCTCGTAGTAAAAGGATTCAGGCAACGAAAAGGAATTGATTACACACAGAAGTTACACTTGGAACAGTTCGACATTTCCTCAGCGTTCCTGAATGGAAAGGTAACACAATATGCAGCAGCCAGATGACTTCAGCGATGGATCTTGGAAAGTCCGTCGATTAAACAGAAGCCTGCGTTTGGTTTGAATTTGAAACAAGCGCATCAAGGTGTCGGAACTCCTGCTTTGAAGAGATTCTTCCTGAAATTGATTTTAAGCAGAGACGCTGTTTGCTGCGCCTGTTTATAAAGACTCCTGAGAAAAAGGAGATATACTCATTATACATATGTACCTACCTGTAGATGATAGCAGAAGTGATGAGAAACACACAAATGAGTTTTTATTTGATCTGAGACAGAAATGGAAAATTACTGAAAGATCGGCATCATTCTTCTTAGGTTTAGAGATAGAGCAAGTGGGCGGCGGATCCATTACAAGTAAGAATCCTATACGAAGAAGATTCTGAAGAGCTTTCGCATGATGGATTGCAATTCAGTGGTAGCACCTGTACAGAAGGAAGTACTTATCGAATCAGGGAAAGTGGATGATTATGCATAAATGTAGGTGCTTTAGCCTATCTCATGGTCGGAACACGTCTCGACATAACATATGCTGTAGGGCTAGTATCCAGAAAGCTGCAGAATACAACTAAAAGTGATTGGCAGAATGTGAAAAGGATATTCAGATTTCTAAAAGGAACTTTAGCTCCAGGTATCAAGTGCCATAGTGTTAGTAACAACAATGGAGTCATCGAAGGGTACAGTGATGCACGCTGATCATTAAAGACAGGACGCTCTGCTACTAACGTAATTTGCTGGAGGTTAACAGCAAAGTTGGCTTCAAAGAAAATTCAGCAATATGTCAGAACTGAAGGGCGTGCTGACAGTGAAAGTTGATAATGAAGCTGCCATTCGACTTGCCCATAATCCCGACTTTCACAAAAGGACAAAACACATCAAGGTTAGCGTTAAGACACTTCTTTGTGTAAGAAATGGTTCAAGGAGAAAACCAGTTCTGCTAACCAATTAACTGGCATAGTGACAAAGGCAGTTCCCATAGGCCAAGGATCGTGGAAATATGCACCGAGCTGGGATTGTGAGAAACAAGTACACTTTGTCATCAATTAGCATTAAAGCTCGTTACATTTATGATGGTTTAATAAATGTAAGTTACATGGTTCTACGACTTAAAACAAATTAATTATGAATTAATGTTTTGACTATCATTAGAAAATAAAACGTCCTTTAAAAGAGATAGACATTACTCAGTTAATTCTATACATTTTGTAATTACACTGTTGCACTACAAGTGAAGTAAACATTACACAGGTCTCCCTGTTAAATTTTGAACTCTTGGAATAATAACATGAAATTTATATCTAAGGAAATAAATACATCCCTACAAAAGCGTAAGCGAATTCATGCATGCATAACTTATACTACGGATAAACAAACAGAAATCGTTTAACAAATTTATACTACAATATTGACTAATGTTCGTTTGCTTCTTGTGATGATTGGGATATTCTGATTTCTGAATATCTGCTACAGACTTTTAAGAAGTTTTAAACAGTTTCTTATCTCTCTGGCAGAATGTGCTCGCTTTTCTAAAACTACCCGAAAGAATCTTCCGTTAGTATTGGTCACAAGTTTCTTGGAGAACTTCTCGTATTGGAATCAGTTTACCATCAATTGCATTTCGAAAGTAACCCTAATAAGTGTCAGTCCGTAAGTGCAAAAGAAATTATAATTTATATTTTAATTACGTACCAAGACTTTTGATCCGGTAATGTAAAGTGAGTCTTAATTATGCTAACGCCTATATGAGCACTGCATAACTCTTTCAACAGTAATGTCCAGACCTAGCTTTATATTTCAATCCCCCTTTTCTCCTTTGCATGCTTTCCCAACCACCAAGAATCACAGGGTCTTCGGATGGGTGGAACCAGAGCGATAAGTTCCATTTTACCCAAAAGCCAGACCGAACTTGCGACGATTCCATGAATGAAACTATCAATTGAAATTCCATTTTCTTATTTTGAACTTGTAAGAGCAAGAAGAATTACAAAAAAACGTTCATTTTAGTAATGAAAAAAGTAAATAGGTTAATTTTACCACAAAATATAGGAAACGATATTATCGGCATTATAATAAAGACCTGAATAAAGAAAATAAATCCTTCCTCAGTTCATGTTCTCCTGGTCGTCCGTCTTCAGATTTTATGTTCTGTATATACATAATGGCGAAAAACATGACCGGTTTTTCGGTAATCGAGTATGACGAGTTGCCTATACACCAGGGGGCATAATCCTAACGCTCCTAATATAGCATTTTTATACATTTTTAAAGTATATATTGGAATTTTGAGACCATTAACCGTACGTATGGAATTGAAATGATGTAAATAAGTAGGTACTAGAGAGGTTTTATGAAAGGCAAATATGAAATTAATAGTCATTATTTCCGCGCGTAAACAAATCAATTGTTACGAACGTGAAACCATTGTAATCGAATAAACAATGACGAAATGTTAATACAGCAACCAATTATAAGTGTTGAAGTTTATGTATTTTGTAAATTTGTTATCTTGTACTGCCTAAATGTAATAACAAAGCAAAATTTCAAAAAATATATCGGCTCGACATCTGACGTTATTTCCTTGAACTGAATTGTAAGGTTTACCATTAAATGCAGGGCACTAAATTATTACCATCATAATGTGGCCTAATATTCGTGTAGATGTCGCTACTGTATGACAGAAAATTGCATCTAACCCACTAGTGATATTATAATCGATTCAGCAAACTAACATTAGATGTCAGAAGGATATGTTCTTTTTGATTTTAGCAACAACCATAAAAAAACAGAGGGAATGTAGATAAGTACAGATGTAAAAGTAACAAATTTACAAAACACATAAACTTCAGCATTTATAATTGGTTGCTATGTACACCATAAACTTTTATGTCTCCGACACTTGGTATGTGTTTACGTCTGGATGATTCACTTCATCATGATAGGCCCCATAGAAATGATCTGTCGTTACGATCAATCTGAAAGGGTATCGTAACGGTAGATTGCTCAAAATTTACCACTCTCACACGAAAGGATCGATCATTACCATGGTTGAAAATGAACGTTAACGTGCTAAAATAATTCAATACGTCAGACTGAGACCGTCATCGAATTGTTGATAGTAAAGAGCTATCCACTCTCCTATTTGATTAAGTAAATCGTTAACCATCTTCACATACACTATCGATTTGTTGTTTCAATTGGTCAGAAATAATGGCTTTGACAGATCAGTCATTTCGCATAAGGGCCTCTTTATGCGTTGTTTTCAGTGTAGCATTTCTTAACAAAGTTGGTAACCATTTACTAAGAATGGAGGCCATTTTTGAAACTTTTTTGGAAATAGAACTCATTACAAACATTGATGACTTAATTACACAGACTGTTTATTAGCCAAATTCGAACCTTTTGGAATAATAACGAAATAAATACATCTCTAAAAAAGCATAAGCGAATTCATGCATGCGTAACTTATACTACGGATAAACAAACAGGAATCGTTTAACAAACTGATACTACAAAATCGACTAATGTTCGTTTGCTTTTTGTGATGAATAGGAAGTCCTTCTGCTCACTGAATATCTGTTACGGACTTGTAAGCCAGTTTAGTGTCTCCCTTGGCAGAATGTGTCCGCTTTTCTAAAGCTACCCGAAAGAATCTTCCGTTAGTACTTGTCTCATGTCTCTTATGGAACTTCTGGTATTGGATTCAGTTTACCATTAATTGCATTTCGAAAGTTACCCTAATAAGTGTCAGTAAGTGCAAAAGAAATTATAATTTATATTTTAATTACGTACCAAAGCTAACGATCTGATAATGTAAAGTGAGTCTTAATTACGCTAACGTCTCTATGAGCACTGCATAACCCTTTCAACAGCAATGTCCAGACCTAGCTTTACATTTCAAACCCCCTTTTCTCCTTTGCATGCTTTCCCATCCATAAAGACCCAGGGTCTTCGGATCGGCTGAACCAGAGCGATAAGTTCCATTTTACCCAAAAGCCAGACCGAACTTGCGACGATTCCATGAAGGAAACTATAAATTGAAATTCCATTTTCTTATTTTGAACTTGTAAGAGCAAGAAGAATTACAAAAAAACGTTTATTTTAATAATGAAGAAACTAAAATAACTATTTGAGGTTAATTTTACCACAAAATATAGGAAACGATATTATCGACGTGTCAATACATAATTGAAATAGCAAAATATCTCCTTCTTCAGTTCATGTTCTCCTAGTCGTCCGTCTTCAGATTTTATGTTCTATATATATAAAATGGCAAAAAAACATGGCCGGTTTTTCAGTCATCGGGTATGACGAGTTGCCTATACACCAGGCGGTATAATCCTAACGCTCCTAATATAGCATTTTTATACATTTTTAAAGTATACATTGGAATTTTGAGACCATTAACCGTACGTACGGAATTAAAATAATGTAAATAAGTACTAGAGAGGTTTAAGAAAGGCAAATATGATATTTAATAGTCATTCTTTCCACGCGTACACAAATCAATTGTTGCGAACGTGAAACCATTGTAATTGAATAAACAATGACGAAATGTTAATACAGCAACCAATTATAAATGTTGAAGTTTATGTATTTTGTAAATTTGTTATCTTGTATTGCCTAAATGTAATAACAAAGGAAAATTTCAAAAAATATATCGTCTCGACATCTGACGTTATTTCCTTGAACTGAATTGTAAGGGTTACCATTAAATGCAGGGCACTAAATTATTACCATCATAATGTGGCCTAATATTTGTGTAGATGTCGCTACTGTATGACAGAAAATTGCAGCTAACCCACTAGTGATAATATAATCGATTCAGCAAACTAACATTAGATGTCAGAAGGATATGTTCTTTTTGATTTTAGGAACAATCAAAAAAAACAGAGGGAATGTAGATAATTTCAGATGTAAGAGTAACAAATTTACAAAACACATAAACTTCAGCATTTATAATTGGTTGCTGTGTACACCATTAACTTTTATGTCTCCGACACTTGGTATGTGTTTACCTCTGGATGATTCACTTCATCATGATAGGCCCCATAGAAATGATCTGTCGTTACGATCAATCTAAGAGGGTATCGTAACAGTAGATTGCTCAAAATTTACCACTCTCACACGAAAGGATCGATCATTACCATGGTTGAAAATAAACGTTAACGTGCTAAAATAATTCAATACGTCAGACTGAGACCGTCATCGAATCGTTGACGGTAAAGAGCTATCCACTCTCCTATTTGATTAAGTAAATCGTTAACCATCTTCACATACACTATCGATTTGTTGTTTCAATTGGTCAGAAATAATGGCTTTGACAGATCAGTCATTTCGCATAAGGGCCTCTTTATGCGTTGTTTTCAGTGTAGCATTTCTTAACAAAGTTGGTAACCATTTACTAAGAATGGAGGCCATTTTTGAAACTTTTTTGGAAATAGAACTCATTACAAACATTGATGACTTAATTACACAGACTGTTTATTTACCAAATTCGAACCTTTTGGAATAATAACGAAATAAATACATCTCTAAAAAAGCATAAGCGAATTCATGCATGCGTAACTTATACTACGGATAAACAACAGGAATCGTTTAACAAACTGATACTACAAAATCGACTAATGTTCGTTTGCTTTTTGTGATGAATAGGAAGTCCTTCTGCTCACTGAATATCTGTTACGGACTTGTAAGCCAGTTTAGTGTCTCCCTTGGCAGAATGTGTCCGCTTTTCTAAAGCTACCCGAAAGAATCTTCCGTTAGTACTTGTCTAATGTTTCTTGTGGAACTTCTGGTATTGGATTCAGTTTACCATTAATTGCATTTTGAAAGTTACCCTAATAAGTGTCAGTAAGTACAAAAGAAATTATAATTTATATTTTAATTACGTACCAAGGTTTTCGATCTGGTAATGTAAAGTGAGTCTTAATTACGCTAGCGTCTATATGAGCACTGCATATCTCTTTCAACAGCAATGTCCAGACCTAGCTTTACATTTCAAACCCCCTTTTCTCCTTTGCATGCTTTCCCATCCATAAAGACCCAGGGTCTTCGGATCGGCTGAACCAGAGCGATAAGTTCCATTTTACCCATAAGCCAGACCGAACTTGCGACGATTCCATGAAGGAAACTATCAATTGAAATTCCATTTTCTTATTTTGAACTTGTAAGAGCAAGAAGAATTACAAAAAAACGTTTATTTTAATAATGAAGAAACTAAAATAACTATTTGAGGTTAATTTTACCACAAAATATAGGAAACGATATTATCGACGTTTCAATACACAATTGAAATAGAAAAATAAATCCTTCTTCAGTTCATGTTCTCCTAGTCGTCCGTCTTCAGATTTTATGTTCTATATATATAAAATGGCAAAAAACATGGCCGGTTTTTCAGTCATCGGGTATGACGAGTTGCCTATACACCAGGCGGTATAATCCTAACGCTCCTAATATAGCATTTTTATACATTTTTAAAGTATACATTGGAATTTTGAGACCATTAACCGTACGTACGGAATTAAAATAATGTAAATAAGTACTAGAGAGGTTTAAGAAAGGCAAATATGATATTTAATAGTCATTCTTTCCGCGCGTACACAAATCAATTGTTGCGAACGTGAAACCATTGTAATTGAATAAACAATGACGAAATGTTAATACAGCAACCAATTATAAATGTTGAAGTTTATGTATTTTGTAAATTTGTTATCTTGTACTGCCTAAATGTAATAACAAATCAAAATTTCAAAAAATATAGTGTCTCGACATCTGACGTTATTTCCTTGAACTGAATTGTAAGGGTTACCATTAAATGCAGGGCACTAAATTATTACCATCATAATGTGGCCAAATATTTGTGTAGATGTCGCTACTGTATGACAGAAAATTGCAGCTAACCCACTAGTGATAATATAATCGATTCAGCAAACTAACATTAGATGTCAGAAGGATATGTTCTTCTTCATTTTAGGAACAACCATAAAAAAAACAGAGGGAATGTAGATAATTACTGATGTAAAAGTAACAAATTTAC